TTTTTCAAAATAATTATCGTTGTATATATGAAAAAAAATCTTTCGGGCTGAAGCCCTCCCCCCCAAAAAATTAAATCCTGGATCCGCTAGTGCATGCACTTGCGGTTCTACAGTGGAGGTTTTTGGGCTGAAGCGTACTTATAAAAAAGTATTACTTTTCGTGTAATTACATTAAAAAAATTCTAAATAAAAATTTAGTTAAATCAAAATTGGCATTTACTAATATTTGTAACAATTTAGTGTGTTTCTGATGTCAATAAAACATCTTGAATAAAAAAGATCTCTGTCTAAATGTGCAAACAATTTTAAACTGTAAATGAAGTTGAACAATAATAAAAATAGTTAATTTGGCTGCTTCTTAGAATGTTACTGTTTAAGTATGCGCGTTTGTTCATGTTATGAGATTTTTATTGTACAATTTAAAATTTTTTACTGCATGTGAATCCTGTTCCTAATTATTATCTTCCATCTCTTAACCCTTAAATTATACCATAAAAATATTAAAATAAGTGTCATGATATTAATACATAGTTTAAATACCTGCGATTTATTAGGTGCCAATACTCCACAGCTATACCCCTGAAAACAAAATAAACAAATCAAGAATAAAAAATGTATTCTTTCCTATTTTCTATTTATTCATCTCAATTATATTAAATTTTAATATCTTCATTGCAATAATGCATACAAAGCAATAGTTGATAGGTGTTTTTTAAAAATTATTATAGGACTTTAAGAATTACTTTAACACCATTTCATATACGTAGTTAGTATCTTTCTTTTTTTTCCCAAATTAGTTATTGTTATATATAGATGAAAAAAATAGCTTTCGGTGTGAAGCCCTTCCCCCTTCAAAAAATAAAATCCTGGACCCGCTAGTGTAGCTATGTAGAATTGAAGTAATGCTATTTTTTTTAAGCAAATTGCTAATACGAAGCTTTGTACTTCGTAGTAACAAAGAAAAAGAAATAAAATAATTACTATTATTGGCCTAAACATTTTTTTTAATCATTAGTAATTTGCTAAAAAAAAAATAGCATTACTTCTACAACACATTCAAAAATCAAAAACCAAAACAAAGTATATAAACTTTGCAGTAAAACATACCAAAAATATCTAGAGACCACATGTTTGCTCCAAATTGTTCGATTTTAACAATTTTGGGAATAGGAGGAATTTCGTAAAATTTAAATAACGATATACAATATCAACAAACAAGTGTATTCTTTTTGAGTTATTCGGAAATTAATTTTACAACCCTTCTAAACTTTTTTCCAGCTTCTTTTCCTTGAAGTATGTTATATAGATAAATTTAAAGGGCGTCGAGAAGAAGACTTTAACCAAGTTTCATTGTGGTACATTCGTTTAGGCGCTAAAGTCTATAGCAAAGCTGGTTTTTCGGTCGCCATCTTGAAAGGAAAAGGCGGATAGTAATGTTAATGTAGGAGGATCATACTCGGGTGACCTCTGACTTTAAATGCAAATTTGAAAAAAAATCGATCCATGGTTTAAGAAAAAATAAGCGGATGGCGGACGGACAAAAAAATTTACACGTTTTTCGAATTCTACGTATCGTGAAACGTAAAACCTCAAATTTTGAAGGGATGAAGTTAAATTAGTGAATTTTTTGGTCAATTACAATGATTCATTATTGAAAATAATAAACTAAAATCTATTGAAACAATAAAGAAAGAAACAGTTTTGAGAGCAAAGATCCTACCATTATAGGATTACTGAAATATTTACATTATATATAACATGGAAGTATTTATTAAATGTGATAAATCATTTTTGGAGCACCATAAATAGTACTGATCTAATCACGAATTGCTCAAATACGTCAAAAGATAAGTTCTTAAACCTCAAAGAGGATCCCGTCACATTGAAAAACCGATTTGCATTAAAACGAAGCTATTATCATATTTTAAATTGAGGAGCAGTTTTACAGTTCAACAAAGAATATTTTTACGAACTGGTTTAAATTGCTAATCAGATGCTCAACAGTAACAGATTACATCACTGTTTTTAACTGTTAATAAAAACAATAACAGTTCGGTTACTGTTCCGAGAAGTAACAATTACTTGTTATACAAGGAAGGAGCTATGGATTTATCACATGCATTTGTTTTACAGTTCAATAACGATATAAGATACTACATTACAAGTGTTGTGTTACAAGTGTACTTTGATTAGTGTTGCCCAAAATCGGTCTTGTTCTTGCACTTTCCACCAAGACCAAGACCAAGGCTACCTAACTGTTGCAAGACCAAGACCAGGACTAGTAAAAGATATCGATTTTTTAAATAAAAAATAAGGCAAAATAGTTACTAATACTTGACAATTTTAGTTAATAATTGGTATAACCAATATAATTTTGCATTTAACTCCTCTAATTTTTCATTCGGGCTTAGTTAGGTTTCTCCTATCCAAAAATTACAGTGATATCTCGATAGCAATAAGCTAATAAGTAACTGCAAGTCTGTTCTGAGAGTCTTGCGCAAGACCAAGATCATGACCAAGACGGAGTTTGCAAGACCAATACTCGTCTCGGTCTCGCATTTGGGGAACACTAACTTTGATGGATTAATTTCCCAAAGCAATATCGGTTTACGCTAAACATATTTTGGTTTATTATTTTCAATATGAACCATTGTGATCGAACAAAAATTCAAAAAATTTAACCCCCTCACAAAATATGAGGTTTTACGTTTCAGGATACATAGAATTCGAAAAACTAATACAAATTTTTTTGTTCTTCTGCCGTACGCCTATTTTCTCCGAAACTACTGGACAATTTTTAAAAAAATTTGGATTGGAAATTATAGGTCACCCGAATATGATCCTCCTTTATCGACATTTCTATCCGTCTTTTCCTTTCAAGATGGCGACCGAAAAATCTGCGTTGCTATAGGCTGTAGAGCCTAAACGAATGTACCGATTTCAATGAAACTTGAATAAAGTCTTCTTATCGATGCCCTTTAAATTTATCTATATCTATATATAACATTAGCAAAGATATGGTCTCTTACTGCAATGGTTATATCCTTTGTTTTGGTTTTTGATTTTTGAATGTGTTACTGAAGTAATGGTAATTTGTTTAGCATATTACTAATGATTAAAAAAAAAGTTTAGTCCAATAATTGGAATCACCTTTTATTTATTTTTCTGTGTCACTGGGAAGGTAATGTTACTTTAGATGTATAATTGTTTGGAAATAATAAACCATTGTGAAATAATTTGCACCGTTTTTTTAAATATATGTATATTTATTTATGAACCAAACATAAAAGATGAGCATATCCATATCACATATTCAGGATATAAATCAGATCAACATGTCTCTTGAAAACTGCCTATGTAATCAGGGTACGCTGTAGGAGTTTCTGTGCGTTTAGTAATTTCTGTCAGAGGTTTCATATTGTAAGTCAGTCTTTGGTGAAAGATATTGTGGTTTTCTTTTGCAGTATCTAAAATTGTTAGGATGTTTAAGTCTTTATATGATATATCATTTGAGAAATAAAACTATCCTTCGCAAAACTTTTGAGTGGAATGAATGAATTTTTTTTAATATGAGGAGTTGACTGAGGGGGAGGGTCAAATAAATACTACATTTTAAAAATAGTATTTTTAATTATTACTCCGACGTTTCGACCCACCTTGCAGGTCTTCATCAGGGCGTGGCATTTGGCACTGCAGGAGGCAGTTGATAGATCATCATCATCATCATCATCATCATCATCATGAATCATCAACTAACCATCTATTCGAATTTTCCTATTTCCTTAATTGATTTTAGTTTACATATTTAAAACCCTGCACAATGACCTTAACATTCCATTTATTCTTGATCTTATCCCAGACAAATTCTCCAAATTTCATCAGAACCTTAACCATCAACCTAATCCCGTAGCACAATCCCTATCTAGCACCACTCATCCCTACAATCCTCCTCGCAGGCTGAAACGGCAGTGGCCCCGTGACCTTTTGTAACATGTATATATTGGAGTTCTGGCAATGGCCAGATTCTCCACTCAAGTCATGAGTGTCCGTGGTTGTAGCGCCCTTACTCAATCTCCGCTGGCTTTCAATGCCAGTGAAATGGTTGAGGAAGAAGCGCAGGGATCTTCTGAAGCCTTGCTTTCCCTCCACGTGTGGATAAGTATGGTTCGGAGTTCCCATGGCCGACTGTAAATAGTGTAAATAGGTATGCCTGCATCTAAGATGTTTATTTTCATATTTTTTTTTTTTAAGATAATTTTATTCATTTATTTTCATTCTATTATTACTATTATTTATATTTTCTTTCTTCACTATGATATTTTATTTTGTTCTTTTGTAGCTTTATATTATTTGATGTTAGCTTATTTTTTATTTTTTTATTTTTTTAAATTTGTAAATATGGTGTGAATGTGCTCTCAGAACTCTATTATAAATGTCCTTTATTGAGACAGATTGTAATATTTATCAATAAACAAATAAAAAAATAAATAAAAAGTTTACATATCTTATTCATTAATGTAGATTTTATTTTTGTTTTTCGAAATATTGGGGCAAAACGATATTCTCGCCCTCTCTCTGTTTTTAATAAAGGGGCAAAAGCCCGTGCTTCCGAAGACTGTGCCTATGGTACCATGTACTGAAAGACCGTGACCTTCCTTAACTTGGCTTTACGTAGGACCCCTAGAAATACGAAGGGTTCGAACCCGATACACGGATCGCTCACTCTGCACAAGAAATAAGGCCAGTCTACGCCAGAGGCCCGACGCCATTGTATGCAGATGGCCACTCCTTGGTGACGAAACATAAAGTTGTAACGAAACATACTTACACGAGTATATTTATTGCCCCACTAACCTGATACAACGCTTAGTCCTTGTGTCTCTTTTTTCCTAGATAACATTTTATTTTTGAGCTAGCCTTCAAGCCGCGCATAGATAACCGCCAATTCCGACGCTTATATAAAGCGCTGCGGAATCATCTTCGCCAAACAATATCCAGTGCAATCCGTTCTTCGAGGAGTACACCATGGGCTGGCGCGTGTTGTTGTTTAGTTGCCTTCTTGCGTCCTTATCCACTCATGTCAGATGCCAGGTAGCATTAGGTGATTATGAGTTTTTTTTTTAAATATTACAGCTATTTTGAATAATGATTCATAAACATGGAGTTATGGAGATGAATCACCAGTGTTTTCATTCTATACTCAGTGGGTTTTTTCGGATCAATGAAGACCGCCCAGTGACTAATCAAGAAATAGTGCAAAGTATTATTCGAATTATTGGTCATGATCATATAGAGTACAAGTTTGGCTTCGAAAAGGTTTTCTCTTGGTGGCCCGCATTAGCAATATGAGGTTTTACATGTTTAAACCCATATATAATAATAATAATAATAATGCTTTATTTATTCTGGGACGAGTCCCTTTAGAATAATACAGAAAGTCAAAACTCTGGACTAAGTGGCCTCAGAGATACATAAACAAGAATATAGTTTAATTAAATAAGCAAAATAAAAAAAATTATAAAAGAAATTATAAGTTACTTTCTAATTTAAATCAGTTAATAATAAAAAATAAATACTTGAAAATAAACATGAAATAAAAATAATGAAGAACGATCTAATAATTTATATACATATTTACAGTAGTAACTATTTACAATTTTATGGGGACTGGGTGGATAAGAAATGATTGAACAGGCGGGTTTTAAAGGTAGGAAGGGTTTTGGATTGACGGATGTAGGAAAGGATACAGTTCCATAGGGATGAGGATCGGATAATGAACGATATCTCGAAAGCAGCAGTTCGGTGGGCAGTACTTTTAATAGCAGTTACTTTTAATTAATTATTATATTAAATCTATGTAAAATCCTTGATAAAGGATCGTTATATATAATTTCGAAGTAGATACTATCATTGAATGATAGTATATATATATATATATATATATATATATATATATATATATATATATATATATATATATATATATATATATATATATAATGGAAAAATATCAAATATCAAAATTTCGATAATATCGACTATTGATGATTATCACAAACTTATACACCCCGACAACTAAACAGAACCATCGTTTACGGACCAGAAAAATTGTTTCGTGTTTTTAGTCTCCTCCTCATGTTCTGAAGTATGTCAGCTATGGCCATGTCTGTTATTATGTCCGTTTAAATTAGTGTAAAATCGTTGATAAATGACATTATATGTTGGTCAACTGTTGGAAAGTGGAGGTCAGTATGTAGAGTTTTGTAAGAGTTACCAAGGTGCTTTTGTTATGATTCCTAATAACTTTGCTTCTAATCAAAATTATTGCGACTCATAACAAAAGTTTGAAGTTTATGTAGGTGGATCTTTTTAGCGATACCGTATATTTGTGATGAGTCCATAAGGATTTAAGTATGTATATGTATTCAGTTTCTGTCTCAGTTTCAGTTTTGAAGATTTAGCAAAAAGAGAGTAAAGTAGTTTGAGTCGTTTGTTAAGTGTCTAACGTTTCATTTTAACATAAAATACAAAGTAAGGTAAAGTACAGTGTCAGTTTAAGGAATTTGATTGTTGTCAACATAAACTGGAGGATAGGGAGTTATTTTAAGAGTAAATGTTATATGTTTGGATTTGTCATGATTAAGTCGAATTTTCTATAGTGTGCACCAATATTGTAATTAAGTAAGTTATGTTGTAGAGTTAGTGAGCTCTTAACTTTTAATATATTTTAGATTTTAATATATTTTTGTGATTCGTAAATATTATTCATTCATAAGGAAGTGGAATTAGAAAACACTGTTCCCAGATTCGAGTCCGACTGATAGTGTATTGAATAGAGTTAGAAACTGCGGCATATTCAGCATCTAACAAGTAGATAAACCGATTTAGGGATGTATATATCGAGAAAAAAAAATCGAAATATCGGACCTCAATTCTTGGAGATCGGACCAATTTTTTATTTCATCTTAGCAGAAAATCTTATGATTAACCATCGAATGTATTATTTGTTATTATAAATCACAAAAAAATTGCTGAATGGTTATTGATTCATGTAATCGAGTGTGACCAAAAGGCAGTTTCATGGCGCGATTTGCGCCTTCAAAATTTTTGAGGGGAGTATATTCTAACAGGGTTTTGAATTTTCGAGGGAGGCACATTTAGACGGAGTTTTGAATTTACAAAATGAAAAGTTTCAAACCAGGGGACAAGAGGAAAGCATAGAATAGACAACTGAAAGTGCAATTGTATATGACCTATGATTTTTAAAAATATACTTTCGCTTGCCCCATTTTTAAGAAAAGAAGAGCATTAAAATATCATGGGAGGATTTATGACCCACCGATCTTGGGGGGAATGGGCACCCTTGCATGAAATGAACACAACAGTCATTATGAGATTATGAAGTATTTTATTATTTTTTGGTTCTTATTTATTTATCACAGTTATCATAACAATATTTCGTATTATATTTCAATTATTATTCACTATTTCATACATTTCTTGTATAATATGCATTATATTTCTTTTTAACCTAACGTAAAAGTCACCGTATTAGATACTTTACCTAATATGCATCAGGTATTGAATGTGTTGATAAGATGAAAATCCGTAAAATGCTTTATCTGTATTATGTAAAATAAAGAATTTTTTTTTATTACGAATAAAAGCAGTTATTATACTTTTCTGTACCAGGCATTAGAACTCATCGACCCTCCTATATTTTTTACAGCTTACAATTTAAATAATCCATCCAAACCCGCCCCACTAGATCCCGTACTTCCAACCTCTATCCTCCTCCTCACCGAACTGCTACGTTTGACAAATCCTTTGCAATTCAAGTCCGCCTCCCTCTGGAATTCCATCCCTGCTGATATTCGACACGCACAATCAGTTTCCTTTTTAAACACCTACTTCTTTCTCAATCCGACTGATTACGAAATATACCTAAGAGAACCACCAAAGTACCCCCAGAGACTTTTTCTGTTTATTTATGTTATTTTATTTTCATCTGTTTGTCTTATATATGTACGCTTTTCTTTTTTACTTTTAATTAACTATTATTCTAAATATTTAATTTATTTATGAGCACACAGACATGTATTCTGTACTTACAATTTGTTCTAAAGGGACAATAGTCCCAGACTAATAAAATATATTTTCATTTCATTTATATTTTTTAAAGCTAAGGATTTACAAGTCATAACCTGATTTTCTTTTCAGGGCTTAGCGACAACGAAGCAGTTTCAGAAGTTGATAACATAGATGAAGTTTCAAGCTTTAAAAAATATAAATGAAATGAAAATATATTTTATTATTCTTAATAAAATTTCTTTGGTTCTTTAACAAAGACTTCTTTGGTTCTTTAGACAAAGAAAGCCATTGGTTAATATCGCGTGTAAGACTCATTGACCGTTGAGGTAAACTCAGTTGAACTTGACAATGAACTAAATGCGGAGGATCACTATGTCAATGTCAACCCAAGTAGCTGAAAACAATCCTATGAGCGCATTCTAAATTTTTAATAACTTTTCTAAATTTTGAATTGGTTTTTATTCTGTAGTAATGCCAATTTTGCTTCTATGCACTGGTTATGATAAAGTTGCCAATTTGCTTTCCTTCAATCGCTTTATATGTACCCACAATCGAATTAGTGCCAGCTGGTCTTCCTTCATATACATCTACAAAATACCATTATTGGTACTTGGACCATTATACCACCATTATACTCGGGATGTGGTATCAATGGTCCAATATCGGCCTATAACCATCAATACCATTATATGATTATCAGTATAAAAATATTGATCTCTAGCACTTAGGCGCATTAAAAAAAAAAATGGTGTTTTCCTCTTCAAAATAATTAATGGAAATAGAAATTCTTCTACATCTCTTAGTAAAATTAATTTTCTAGTTCCTGTCCAGCTTTTTGCCGAAATTGCCATTCAACCGATTATGCCTTCCATTCACCCATAGATCGGATTCACCTAAATGCTAATTTATTTTCATCCTACATAGATTTCTTTGATAACTCGTGGCCTTGGTTTGATAAGATTCTAACTAACAAATTTGGACAAATTCAGTTTATTGAGTGAAATGGGCTACTCAACTATACTTAGAGATCGATAGTCGATATTATCGAAATATGCATATTTTCCTCTACTATATTCTTTCTATATGAAACAGGCAAGATCAGTAAATTTTTTTCCTAACAATCAGATACATATATAATCTCTAGAGCTTTCCGAAAACAATTTTTTTTTTTGTCTATAAAAGATGTATTTTCGCCTGTCAACTGATTTTTGACAATCAGCAAATGTGATGGCGATACATGAAATGACATGACAGGCATGGGGAAGGAAAGTACTCAGCAGTACCTCTTCCCTAACTTGTTCCAATTACTTAAGTAGTTTAAGGAAGGAGATCTCTCATCCAACGTCTTTTTAGTCTCCTCCTCATGTTCTGGGGTATGTCAGCTGTGGCATGTCTCTTATTATGTCTGTTTAAATCTATGTTAAATCGTTGATTACGGATCGATATATATAATATCGAAGTAGATACTATTATGGAATGATAGTATATATATATATATATATATATATATATATATATATATATATATATATATATAATGGAAAAATATCAAATATCGAAATTTCTATAAAATCTGCTATCTATGGCCATCACTAACCTATACATCCCGACAACTAAACAGAACCATTGTTCACGGACAAGAAAAATTGTTTCCTTACACTAACTGTTTCCGACAACACGATCTTAAAGAAAATAGGAGACTAGAAGTAATACTTCGAACCAAATATGTACTTGTTGACAGAATGTGAACATTACTCTTGATTTCTATTTCTATTATACAAGGAAAATAGGTATGCCTGCATCTAAGATGTTTATTTTCATTACTTTTTTTTTTTAAGATAATTTTAATTCTATTTTATTCATTTGTTTTCATTCTATTATTACTATTATTTATAGTTTCTTCCTTCACTATGATATTTTATTTTGTTCTTTTGTAGCTTTATATTATTTGAAGTTAGCTTATTTTTTTATTTTTTTTTATTTGTAAATATGGTGTGAATGTGCTCTCAGAACTCTATTGTAAATGTCCTTTATTGAGACAGATTGTAATATTTATCAATAAACAAATAATCAGTAATTAAACAAGGAGACGAGGTGGCCAAGCGTGTGTACAGCACCGTTCGTTGCCCAAAAATCTTATAACCGAAGTTTTGAGATAAACGAATAATTACGAGTTCAAATTCCGGCGCACGGTGGGACTTTTAACTCGGTATAATTCCTCCGTCCTCTCTCCTGGCCCGGTAAAAACTCGTGTAGTTTAAAAGGCAAAGAAGATGAGAACTGATCCCAGCAATGCTTGGATTAACAAAATATTACAGAGGGTGTAAATAATACTCTAAAATAATGAATTGATATGATTTCAGATCTAATGGGTTTCGGACCAGACAATCCAGCTTCTCTTCAGTTAGTAATGTTCGCACAAAATAATCCGGTAAGTACTTTACTTTCAGAACTTGTTAACAGAGAAATATTACAACAATCCAGCAAATAATCACAGATATTTTTAATATATTCTAAGATTAAAGTTTCGTACTAAAATCTATGAAATGGGTTGTACCATCATTTTTAACATGATATGGTACAAATGATTGGGTATTTGAAAGAAACTTAGTGGACTGTATTTAATAATAACTGTAATTTGGCGTATAATGTTACAATCTTTTACTTGGTGATTGAGGTACGGTGGTCGGCCGGCTGCAATACTTCTTCACATCCATTTGTCCGGTGGGTCTCGGTGTTCTACTCCATGCCTCTTCCCATGGTAGAACAGAATATGAAAGATAGTCTTGAAGAGGGAAGAGAAGTCGTGTTCTTCTCGTGTCAGTTGCCCATTTTTTCTCTTACTAATAGTTTTTGGTGCATACAGCGCCACCGTCGCTGAAGTGTTATCTACTTCGCTGGTCCTTTACATGTACCCCATGAAGGGGGGGGGGGATAACCTCAATTTAGGGTGATCAACCCTAAACAATCTAATATTCCTTAAATATTGGGTAGGCAATAAAAGTCCTTTCGGTTTTTCAGGATGAAATAAAATTTAATGTATTGTAGACATAAAATTTATTTTAATCAACAATATATCGACCATTATTTAATATGACTTTTAGCCATCTTTCCACTAATTGCATAATGCCATGTTCATAGAATGTCTAGAGTCTATTGTTAAAAAACTGATCCAAGTAGTTTTAATAAGTGGTAGTCACTTGGAGCTTGGTCTGGTGAATAGGGAGGGTGAGGCCAAAGGTCCTATCCAAGGCTCAATAATTTATTGCGAGACCAATGAGGTGCTTAGCATTGTCATAGTAGATCACAACACCCTTCCAATCTTTCATAACTCTTCAGGATGTTCTTCAAATTCGATGACACTATATCCGTTGGAAAGCTGAATTATTGTTCTTCAAAGCCGCATTAATGTTTTTGTTTTTTTTTATTTAAAACCTACATAAGAAATAAATAAACAAAAATCCTTATAGTTTTTATTTTTTATCTCCATTTGTAGTTTAATTACGGAGGTCCTACCGATGTAATTATGTGTAGTTTATGTGTCCCTAAATTCCTGTTAAATTTCTTGTAGATAGCTAAAGTCGTACTGAAGTTATAACATTTTTTGTAATTTTCGAAAAAAAAAAAATCATGTGAGGGAGACAAACATTAATCCTGGAAACATAGCCGAGCTTGTGCTAATGGGTTTCAACGCTTGTATTTAGGGCAATATCAATTTCTCGCAATGATTGGGTGGAATGTTGATCAACATTAGCCTTAACATTGCTCGTTTCAATTTCATGTGGGCAACCAGAACGTTGAACATCATTGATGTCAAAATTTCCTGAATTAAATTTGGCATACCAATTTTGACAGGTGCATTTGGTTAAGGCATCTTCCAGATAAACACTGCAAATTTGTCTATGAGCTTCTGCAGCACGCTGACTTTTTTTAAAATAATACAACAAAATATGCCTATAATGAATGATATTTTGTTCCATATTCACCGTGCGATAGCAAACACAACAAGAATTAACATATATAATTGATGACATATTACAAACAGGATAAACAACAGTTGTACTCTTCTCCTTGCAATGGCTAGGCAGTCTTGGGCAACACCACTAGCGGATCCAGGATTCAATTTTGGGGGGGGGCTTCAGCCCGAAAGCTTTTTTTTTTCATAAAAATGGCGATAATTACCTTGGAAAAAAAGAAAGAAACTAGCTATCTAAATGAAATGGTGTTTAAGTGATTCCTTAAGTCCTTTTAAATGTAATTACACCAATAATAATACTTTAAGAGATAATTTTTTAATATATTTTCCCATAAAACATAGTTATATTTTACCATTTTGTGGGGGGCTTCAGCCCGAAAGCCCCCTCCCTCCCGTAGATCCGCCCGTGGGCAACACTACTTAACAGCAATAAAGAAAACGCAGACACTGATTATATTAGGGTTTTACTCCTTTTTTTTATTTATTTTTTTTTTATTTTTTTATTTATTTTTTTTTTATTTGTTTATTTAGACATACAATATTCTGTCACAGGGACAATAATTATATTGATAAATGAGCACATTCACACCGTATATACAAAAAAAAAAAATTAACAAAGTAAAACAATAACTAAATAATAATAAATAAAAACTATATACAATAAAAAAACCTAAATATAATAAATTAAAAACATAAAAATACAATCATACCTATATACAATATATACAATCAGGCGGGGAACCCAAATCCCTGCGCTAGTCTCTCAACCTCCTCACCGGTGCTAAAGCCGGTGGAGTTTGAGCGAGAGCGCTTTAGCCACATACACTCATGTCTTGAGTGGAGAATCTGGCCATTGCCAGAACTCCAAAATAAATACTATAAAAGATCTCTGGGCCACTGCCGCTTCAATCTTCGAGGAGGGTTGTAGGGATGAGTGGAACTAGATAGGGATTGGGCTAGGGGATTTGGATGATTGATAAGGTTCTGATGGAATTTTGAAAATTTTTCAGGGATAAGGTCAAGGACAAATGGGATATTAAGGTCATGATGTAGGGTTTTATTGGTTACATAGAACGGAGTATTGACTATTGTAAGGAGGACTTTGGATTGAAAGGATTGGATGCGTTTGATGTTAGAGAACTTTGCTGTCCCCCAAAGTTCAAGTCCGTAGCGTCCAAATGGGTTTCAGGATTGTCTTGTAGATCAGTAATTTGTTGTCAATTGAAAGTTGAGATTTTCTGGTCAGTAGTCTGTATAATTGGCCGTATCGTCGGTTAAGTTCTTGTCTTTTAAGTCTAGTATGTGGGTTCCACGTTAGTCTTCGGTCTAAGATAAAGCCAAGATACCGGACTGTGTCTGAAAAAGGAAGCTGGATGGAATTAAAGTGGACTGATGGACAGGATCTGCGGCGGAGTGTGAAGGTAATGTGTTTACATTTGGATTCGTTTACTTTGATGCGCCACTTATTACACCAGTGCTCAATCATGGAGAGGTGCCTTTGAAGATTTAAAGATGCTATTTCTGGATCTGAGTTGGATGATAGGATGGTGGTGTCATCAGCAAATGTTGCAAGGAAGGTATTGGGATAGACAGGGATATCGGATATTATTACTCCTTTAGACTCAAAAAAACAAACCGGAGAAAAAAGAAGTTACCATTAATTCAAGAAAAAAAAAAACAGTTGTATATCTAAAATGTTAAAGAAATTTAAAATATTTGGCTGTAGATAGATGGTTATTGAAATCAGTTGGAATTTGCAGTCACATTGTTTTATTTATTTTTTTATTATTTGCACTATTATTACCTCAGTCCAGACTAATATACGTGGTCCACTTTTTATCAAAATTTTAACATCCGCCAAAGACTTCGCTAATAGCTTCATCTCATCGTAACCTACAACAATTTTATTTACGAAAACTCTTGGAATTGGGGTGTTTTCAATCGGGAAATCGGCAAACTTTGTCTATTTAATTTGATAAAAAAAAATTAGTAAATACGCATTTGCTTTTCACTTGGATAGTAAGAAAATTTGATTCCAAAATCAAGAAAAAAGATGGCCTACAAAAATATTGGACCTATAAAACCGTTTAGCCTATAAAACTTTGTTACTTAGACATTTTGGGTGTGTAGTTCACGCTATATTTTTTTGAAGGCCACCTTTTTTTTCTTGATTTTATTCTCAAATTATCTTTCGATTCAAGTGGAAAGCAATTGGGTATTTAAGAGTTTTTAGTACATAATTAAATAAAGAAATTTTGACGATCTACAGATTGAAAACGCCCTAATTGCGAGAATTTTCGTAAATAAAATATTAGTAGGTTCTGATGAAATGAAGCTATTGACGAAGTTTCAGGCGTATGTTAATAATTTGATAAAAAGTGGTCTGTATAACGGACTATAATTTCCTAAACATACAATTTTGGATAATATTTCAATTTTTCTTATAATTCAATTCTTATGGACTGTCGTGAATAATGAAGAGAAGAATAGTTGGGGTGATCAGTCACAAACAAGAAGGCAAAAATAAATGGTAATATTTATTTTGACATTTGCCGACGTTTCGACCTGAATTTCAGGCCTATCAGGGCTAAGAAAATAACCATATAATACTGTATGAGAAACATGAATAACATAGTATAAAAAAACATTAAAGTAAAATTAAGTGAGTAGAATAATGACAATATTAAGAGCTAAGAGACAAATAATAATAACCGTTACAAAGCGTGGAATGATGAAGTAAACATAATCAAAAAAGGTGTCATATATGTTAAAATGGTAATCTTAGAATAAAAATTTACAATATCTCAATTTTCTATCTAACTATTCTATTTGTAATATCTTAATTTTACTATTTATTTTCATTTCTTATAAAACTTCATATTCCTTTTTTCTGTTTTACATTTTATTCTAAGATTCCCATTTTAATACTTATGTCACCTTTTTTGATTATGTTTACTTCGTCATTCCACACTTTGTAACGCTTATTATTATTTATCTCTTAGTTTTTAATATTGTCATTATTCTACAAACTTCATTTTACTTTAAATTGTTTACCTACATTACTCATGTTTCCATTAACTTTTTATCTGTTTTTTTTTCTTAGCCCTGATGAAGGCCTGAACTTCAGGCCGAAACGTCGGCAAATGTCAAAATAAATATTATCATTTATTTTTGCCTTATTATTTCTGACTTATCAACTCAACTATTCTTCTCTTCAATTTTTCTTATAATTCTTTGATTTTTGCGAGTTAAGAAATTTTGTGGCATAATGATAAACATGTTTTAATAAAATAGTTTTACACATAAGAACCTTTGACCTAAATCGTTAGAACTGCCTGATACTCCAATACCTTTGTCCCAACAGTTCCCCCCCAACTACACGACCAGCTCCGGTATTCCTGTGTCTGATCCTGGTACCGTGATGACCGCAGGACCCAACGGGCCCATGCTAGTCCAGGACACCAGCTTCTTCAACGAGCTCCAGCATTTCGACAGGGAGAGGATCCCGGAGAGGGTGGTCCACGCCAAAGGAACAGGTACGTGACAGAAGTATATTATCATATATTTAAGAGTTTCCTATTTATAATTCATAATAACATTAACGAGGAAAGGTATTGAAGAGGATAAGTGGTGATTTTGGGTTTGATCTAAAAATAGATCGGAGACGTGAGATCACCGATTTCAATGAAATTGCTTTCAAAAAGTAGTCAATCAATATCCTATGATATAAAGGCACGGAGGTTAAGATGGACGGGGCATGTAGCTCATAACAATCCATCTGGAAGCCTGTACGTAACAATGAATGCCTCAATAGAAAGCAAACGACCGCGTGGAAGGCCAAAAAGTAGATGGATAGATAGAATCGACAAAGATGCAACAGAGTTGCATGCAGATAAATGGAAAGAAATAGCCCAAGACAGGAAAAGATGGAGGAGGCTTGTTAAGGTGGCAAAAGATCTACATAATCTGTAATGCCAACAGAAAAAAAAAAAAAAAAGGAAACCTATTTAATTTCTTTTCTAACATCCTTTAAAATATAAATCTTTGGACTCCATTTATTTGAGGATATTTTTTTTTTCTTTCGTTTTTCCAAAGACCTTCATAAATCCTCAGAATATATCCAAATTCTTTTTTTTTTTTAAATGCATTTATTGACATATACAACTGTATTACATGACAAATACAACAAGTAAATCTGAAAAAAAAGTGATATGACATATACAACATGAAGAGAAACTACCCATTGGTAACACTCCAATTATATGTCTATATTAGAAGGTACCGAGGCTATCTTCTTTTCAGACGCCTCGGAGGCTTATCAGGAATAGAAGAGGTTAGAAACAAGAGGGTTCGGATGGTTCAGAAGTTTATTATAGCTATAAGGCATATGTGATATTTTTCTAGATCGAATGAGTATCTAGAATAAGATATGTTGTATAAATTCAGCGTTACTAAAACCGTTGGAAACAAGTGGACGAAATGGAAACATTAGCTTTGAAACAAACCTATTGTGAACAATCCGCTATGAGTGATTGGAGATCGGTAGTCGACTTTCGGATACACTAGGGGAGTTTCAGGTTGCCAATTACAGTGGGTTCTTGGTGATCTTGAAACCAACCGTCATATCAGTGTCGGAACAGGTAACTAAAGCTATAAAATTTAAAACAAATCTTTTGCAAGTCTCTTCAATCCATAAACTTTATACACTGACAGGCAAAAAATTCCACCCACTTGTTACCCATTATGGGACCACATTTTAAAGGTTGGCTCTGGGAAAAATTACAGCCTGCATATCTTTCGTTTCTTCTTCTCCACACCCTTTCAAGCCCGTCTGAAGATCGAAGAGCGAATCTTGACTCATCTGTAAAAAGTACAGCACTCCATTCGTCCATAGTCCGATGGCTGTGTTCTCGAGCAAAAGCCAGCCGTGTTACTCTGTGAGTTCTGGTCAACTCTGGTCCTCTTGCTGGACGAAAAGCCATTAATCCATACTCATTTAATCTTCTCCGAGCGGTACGTTCAGAAATTTGCACACCTCGAACTTCTTCGAGCTGATGAATCGCTTGAAAATCGGTAAGGTGCTGGTTTCGTAAAATTCTCAAAGTCAAAAACCGGTCATCCCGTCGTGGTTCTGTTACCCTAGGCCGTCCAGAACCGGGCCTTCTATTGTAAGAACCAGTTTTCCGAAAACGCCTGACGGCGTCTCGTAAAGTTTCATATGGAACTCCGATGGTATTAGCTGCATATCTAATGGAACGTCCATCATCAATGAGTGCCACACCACGCGCAATATCCTCAGCACTAAGAGGCATTTTTAAACCTAATATTGAAAAAATTAACAGCCGGAGACTAAGAAATGTGCTGCTAGAAACGGCACTGAACTAATGATACTGAATAAACAGTTTGATTCCATAGACCTTGGAATTTAGAATCATTTCATTGAATTAAGGATTAAGGGTTATTGTCCTCTATATTAACATTCCTAATTGAAAACAAACAAAAAGATTACCTATTTATTCATTAAAAACAATAGACCAATCTAAAGCAGAAATATTTTTAGATGAAAACATGAAAAAATCAAGTGGGTGGAATTTTTTGCCTGTCAGTGTATATTCCAAAATATCGATACCATTTTCTAATAAATACTTACGATCGATTTATTCTCGAAAATACTTACCTAAGAGTTTTTTAATTTGTTAGCTATTTACCTGCTATTAGATAAAATTGTTCTTAATTGGAGGTTCTCTTGATATAATGGCTTTCTCGAGAACCCATTCATAGGTCATTTCCCTCTCAAAATTGAAAATGAATTTCATCTCTGGTTTTGCAAAAACGTTATCGTGCAGATAATTGACAATAATCACCTATTTTTGTTGAATATTTTTAATTGTTATTCAAAAATAACGTCAGAATTAAGATCAAAATTGTTCAAACAAAGTCGTAATTCATTAGTAGATAAAATCACTTCTTTCCTAAGCAATAGCGTAAATAATTATTGCGATGTGCATCGATACGGAGCTAGGACTATACTGAGAACAAAGTAACATTATCGAACCTGCACAAACAGGCGGGGTCAAGTTCAAAGAAGTGCATTTATTTAATAATAAATTCATTTCATCGAGTACATTATAATTTATAATAATACAGAATATAATAGGTGTCTAGATTAATTTGGTTAGCATAGTTTATTTATTTAAACATAATATCAATACTTTATTGTAAAAAACAAAGCATCTTTTTCGTTCGCTTATCAGACCAAAACCTTAATTCATTAGGAGACAAAAAAATTTGGTAATTATTTATATGAGAACCGCACGGATTATACGTGGTTCACAATCACTTCGGTCAAACTTGTTCATGGAGTGTCGAATGCATCTGGGTTTATCCCAAAAGACTGTTTTCGACGTTTCATGAACAAGTGTGATCGAAGTGATTGTGAACCACGCGTAACTCGTGCGGTCCTCATCTATATAATTACCATTATTTATGATTTGTATTATTTATAGTGGAGTAGCTCGGTGAGTTAGGCACGGGACTGCTAAACTCAAGGTTCCTCGTTCGAATCCAGCTGATGTCAAGCACTAGCGGATCCAGGATTTAATTTTGGGAGGACTTCAGCCCGAAAGTTTTTTTTTTCATAAAAATAACGATAATTACTTTGGAAAATAAGAAAGAAATTAACTACCTATATGAACTGGTGTTTAAGTGATTCCTAAAGCCCTTTTAAATGTAATTATATGAACAATTATACTTTAAGATATCATCTTTTTATATTTTTGTCGATAAAACATGGTTATATTTTACGATTTTGGAACAAAATGAAATCCAAATCAGATATCTATCTAACAGCTAAAGAAATATCTTCATAATTTCCATAAGTTAAAACGATATTGATTTTCTTTAAATTCTTCTAGCGTATACTTCAGTAGAAAGACCATTTTATATTTTAAAACGTGTAAGAAATTTTATGGAGAATAACTAGAAGATAAAACGTTAAATAGTATGATTTTTTTTATATTCTATATATAAAGTAAAATATTTTTAACAGAATTGACACTACCAAAATTAGTATTAATAAATTTGTAGAGGAAAAACAAGTCGAAAATTATATAAAAGAAATATGTATAACTTATATTTTTTTAAAATCATTTCGAAGTTTGGGGACCCCAAATTTTTGTAACCGCTACTGGCCTCCACTTGTCTAGATCTAACCCTAACTATTTCGATATTTGGCCTTTTAATATAATATATAAGTTATAGTTATAACGGTTTAATAAGATGAAGCACTGGCGGATCTACGGGGGGAGGGAGGAGGAGGGCTTTCGGGCTGAAGCCCCCCCAAAATGGTAAAATATAACCATGTTTTATCGGAAAAAATATAAAAAAATTATCTCTTAAAGTACAATTATTCGTGTTATTACATTTAAAAGGGCTTTAGGAATCACTTTAACATCAGTTCATATAGGTAATTAGTTTATTTCTTATTTTCCAAAGTAATTATCGTTACTTTTATGAAAAAAAAAGCTTTCGGGTTGAAGCCCCCCCCCAAAATTAAATCCTGGATCCGCTAGTGGGAAGAAGAGATCGTTCATAATTTTCTTTCGGCTAACATCGGAAATGTTCGGATTCGATATACAGTGTGGTCTGGTGAGCCATCTTGTCGAATGTGTTCTTACTACATAAATATATATATAAAAAAAAAAAAAATGACATTCTTTTTTTATCAGGCGAAAACTTTTTAATTGTGTGTAATTTTTTTTTTTTTTTTTACTTTAAAATTAAATCTGACCAGGTCAAATTCGTTTAGGTACGCTAGGGAAATATTGAGGTCATAAATAAAGAAAATGCTCTAATAAGTAAAATAAAACCATAAAAAAAGCAATAAATGACAAAAAAAAAAAAAAGAAACTCTATACTAGTTATAGAACAAACAAATGGTTAGTCTTTCATCATTAATTAGTTTGATATAGCATTACTTACTAACATATTAAGTTCAACATAAAAGATAACTATTCATTCCTGTTGTTAATTTCTATTTTTCTTAATACTAAAGAATGGAAACTATTAATATAATTTCTTACCTGATTGAATATTAGTTGTTGGATGTGTATATGAATTTCTGTTCTAAATCTTGAAAGCACATAAAAAATTCAGATCACCATTTTAGAAAAAGAAATGATACTCTTACCAACCTGAGAATACTAAATTACAACACAAAAGGCTATTGAATTGCCATAAATCAAATATCTCTATTTTTTTTTAAACTTTATTTAATTCTAATTTAAGACCTGTCTTGTTTAAATTTATAATATTGAATATTTTAAAACTTTCTTTAAACTCAATTCTAATGGAAGTTGTATATATTACTTTATTAAGTCACGTCTTTTAATGACAATGATATTTTTAATAGAATTTTTATCAACTTAAAATAAAAAAACTTAAAAGGCTATTGTAAAAAAACGTGCAACGAAATACTTTGACGAAATTAATCTTAATGGTATTTTCCTTTGAAATATGAACAAATTCCTAAACTCAGCGCTGAACTCGTCGATTAGGGACGGATCAGATTCCATCGACCCACAGTAGTGAATTTAGGAACTTACCCAATATTATCCAATAAATCTGGATTTATGCCTTATAAAAAAAGTGAAGTAGACTTTATAATGTTAAATAAAAGTTACAAAATCGACTTTCACTAGTGGCATCACTCAAATTATTCAATTTCATTTGGTTGTGTCATTCAAAGTTCTGAAATCATTAAGTACCCGATAATTTTACGATTTTGAAAAATAATTACCATTTTTGATGGGAATGAGTTATATTTTTATTTATAAATTAGGAAATAGAATTAGTTACCAATAATGATCTGCAACACTGCTTGTTACTACAGTAAGGAGGTTCAAGATTTCTAGGTGATAGCCTTTAACTATAATTTTCATTAAATTCACTAATGGGGCTTCTATAACTTCTGTTGCATCTTTCATGGTAAGTCAAAGTAAGATGGTTTTATTCTATGATTGAATGGTAGAATTTACAATGTTTGTTCCAATCTCTAATATTGAAAATTCCATGGTATACCTAACATTAAGAAATGTAGATTTATTGTTTCTTAAATAGCATATACCAAAATACTGCAGGCATTTATAATATTGTCATTAAAACAAATTCTTTAAAGTGTGAACTGATATTCTCTAATAATTTTTAATAGTAAATATTCCAGTTTCATTATTCACTTCTCATCCTTTTTCGATCTGAAGTCAAAGAATATTCAGGTATTCTAGTGGTTTGAAATGCCTTCATCTAATGATAAATATCAAAAGTATTTATGTTATGAATACTGTACTGTTCTCTATTGCATCTGTATCATGTGTGGTTCACAATCACTTTGATCACAGTTGAATACAAATGATTTTGAAAAATTCACTGATGATGAAATCAAAAGGCAGTAATCATTTAAACTGACTATTTTATAGCTTCATTTTTTTTTTTTTTTTATTCGTTGATACTAGTTTTTTTACTGATTAATTTATATAATATTTTATAATAAATATTTTACTAATAAAAAAAAAAAAAAACTGTACCACTGAAGGTTCTTGGGTGCAGTACTATGTAAGAAAGTATTGTTAAAAGGCCAACGGTTGTGCAGGGAGGTGATGCGGCCGATATCATGCTCAACCGCCAGGTTTTTCTCTTTAATTAATTTTTTTTTAAGTAAGGGTACCCACTTTATAGAGGCTGATTGTGCCCCAGGAGGATCTCTTGACCCAGGGTCGATCCACGGCTAATTAAAAATTATTAATCATTAGCCAGACTCAAACCTAGGATCTTGAGCTCAGAAAGTCAGTGCTTTCCCACTGAGCTACCCCGCTCCTAAATACTCTGCTTATATTAGTTATTAATTTTTGTAAATTGATATCTATATAGTAGCAATTTATAAATCTGTTAATAAAAACTTGTATTTTTTAATATTGTTTATTTTATTTTATTATTTTATATATTTTTGAACAATTTATTGGTTTGTTATCTTATAAATTATAATTGTTGATAAAACTTAATTAAATATTTAATGCGGGTGTTATGATATATTCATGTAAAATACTAAATTGTAGAAAGCATGTAGTATATTAATGCCAACAACAAAAAAAAAAAAATTATCCTAAAAATTAAGGAAGATTAAAACGCACTGCTATTTTTGGAACTCCTTGTACAAGTATGATCAAACTGATCTTGGCAATAATGTTATCCAAACACAACACTTTACTATACCTTTAGTGTTAGACATTGAACTATTAACTTGTTATATTGAATTATTTTTAGGGATTTTTTGAGATTAATAATAATTGTTAAACTGATAGTATAAATGTAACTGTTTGCTTTAGGTGCAATGGGAAGCTTCACTGTTACTAACACGGAGATCACTAATTTCTCTGGTGCCTCATTATTCAACCAAGTTGGTAAGACAACTCCCATCTTCATCAGGTTCTCTCAGGTCGCTGGAGAATCTGGTTCTGCTGATACTGTCAGGTGAGTTGTCCTACATAATAAGAAAATAGCAAAAATATGGCATTGTTATGCTTACTTTAATGACGGATCCGATACCTTGGATGAGCTCAATGCTGATTTTAGGAACTTGTTCTATATTGTTCTTCCCTTTACTTCCAGTTGTATGATGACTTTATTTATATATTTATAATTAATAATAAGAGAAAATAATAATCATTAATAAGAAGCCAAAATATTTGAATCATTGCAATTACGTCCATTATCATATAAAAAAGTATATAGACAATTTTAGAATCTCATCGAATGAATTAACCTCTATAAATGAATTGCAGTTGAAAATTGCCACCCTAATAACAAGCCAAAACAGAACTTTTATCTCTCTTTCAAAGGTATTGAAATCTTGTAAAATATCAAGAAATCTCAAATATGACTCAAGGCACACGAGAACTCACAATGTCCAATCCTTAATCAGCAGAGGGCTGTATTTTCTTTTCTTGAGATTCTATAACATTCTAAAAATATTTTTCTTAATTTTTGTTCAATATCTTTTAAGAGATTTCATTTCATTGGCTCTACAGGAGTTGTGCCTGGCTTTCTTGCCATGTTGGCTGCTTGGTCAGCCTGGTAATTTCCAATGACGCCACAATACAAAGGGACACAGATGAACCTTATTTGTTTACCCTTCTCCCATAGCGGCCACCAAACGTTTCTTATTTCTTTCGATACTGTAGGTTTTGGTCTAGGATTTTCAGTGGCTGTAATGTATTCATCGAGTCCGTCACCATGGTCTAATTGGTAGTTACAGTTGTCTCCATGTATTTAAGAGCTTCTCTTATTGTTACCAGTACCATTGCATCAGTAAAAACTGAACAAGTTTTCAAAGTTGCTCTATAAGATAGATAATTTGATGGTTCTATACATATATGCATACAATAAATATTATGTTTCTCACTCTTACACATATTTTTTGTACCATTTATTATTTGTGTATATATTAATGTCAATCCAAAAATATCAGGCAATGTACTAGCTATAAACAGATATGTTAAAAGAAAAATGTTGAGGTGATTAGATGAAACCTTTTTTTGAGATAACGAAGAATTTTACTTGAAATCTTCAATATAATTTTCATTTGATATCACATTTATAGAACTGTTTATATTTAGTTTTATTCAAAGTCTGAATATTAAAAAAAAAATGAATGAGTTTATGATTTCACTGTTTGTTCGTTTTTCTAATTACATTTTTCAAGCAGATGCGAAGGTAGGCATTTTCAAATTTGATGTATACTTTGTAAAATAATAAGAAAAAATAAATAAGACAATTTAATTAATTGTAAAATATAAACAAACATCTGCTAAGTCCACCTTCTTTTGTGTTTTGACTATTTATGTTTAGAGATGCCCGAGGGTTCGCAATTAAGTTTTACACAGAGGAAGGTAACTGGGACTTGGTAGGCCTCAACATGCCTGTCTTCTGGATCAGGGACCCACTTTTGTTCCCCAGTTTCGTGCATTCGCAGAAAAGAAATCCAGTGACACATTTGAGGGTAAGATCTTCCATTAATTGTTTAAAACAATAATTACTTCTAACATTATGTTTAAGTATTTAGTTTACAAAAAATATAAAAATGATTATTTCATGCTAGAAAAATACTGACATTTTTTAATTTTATTACTTTATTTGTAAAGTCTGAAATAGTTATTATTGTTTATTACTATAAATGAAATTTATTTTGGCCAAATTATGCAAAAACAAAAAAAAAAAACTAAAAAGGTTGGCTTTTAATAAAATAGTTTTACCACCATTTAATCTATTTATGACCGTCTCCCCGAACCATCTCCTTCCTTAATTTTATGTTTAAAGCATATTTTGCTTGCGTCCTCATTTTTCTCCTACGAACTTAATTATAACATGAATTTTTGTTTTAGGACTGGAACATGTATTGGGACTTCCTTTCGCTGATGCCCGAGACCACTCTGATGAGTATGTTCGTTCACAGTGATCTTGGTATTCCACAGAATTACAGGATGATGAACGGCTTCGGCCCCAATACCTTCTCTCTTGTAAACAACCAAGGAGAGTATGTCTTTTGCAAGTTCCACATGGTCGTGAGTAAAATAATTGAAAAATACTTCATATCAGTCCTTATTCAGGGTGGCGACCTACCTGTTTAACCTGAAAAAATGGGGAAAGTCAGAGAATTCTCAAAACAGGGGAAGTGAAGGAATTTTTCCAGTACATAAATATTTTTTTCGATGTTGTAAGGTTACGCTCCCTTTGAAAAGTAAACAAAACAGTTTCTGAACCAAATAATATTTATTTTAATTAATAATTAATTCTCAGATTGGGTTGAGACAACAAATACACATCCTTAATTATACAATATAAAAGCATACATAAATTACACAGCACATTTATGAATTTCCATTAAATTTGTCAAAGTCTACTCTTGGCATGCTTTCGAACTATCACTATATATTTTTCACTGACCCTGTTCTGCAGCCACTTCTCTGTATTGCTGCATTCAACATCCACAACCTTCTACCAACACTGACTATTTCTTTCTCACTTGTTCTCCTCGATCCTCTTTATTAGCCGGCCAGTTACGTTCTGCCTTAACATATGGCTCTTCTTCCCCCGCCATCTGTCATTCTTTGTCCATTTTTGAAAGTACTCCGTGATGTCACTGCCTCCGCCTCACTGTTTAAAATCATTATATAATATTTACATTACTAGATATAGTGGATATCGTTTAGATATCGCCTTCGTCAAGTGCTGACTGTCACTACAACCAATCATTTTCTTCCAAAAACTAAAGGTGCATGTAGTCATTTCAAATAATAGAAGAATAATAAATAGATAGATAGATATTTTATTTGTTTTAAGGGGGCTCCCCATACAAATGGAGCCTAGCTTGGCTATTGTACAATAATATGGTTTTACAAATTTACATATATATAATTTAAATATAAATAAAATTTACAATAAACGTTTAGAATGGTTTTCACAAAACATGAATAACAATAAAAATTAAAAACATAAAATGATTACTGCATAATATGGGTTATATGAACCAATTACTATGATAGAATTACGCTTAATAGAACATGGCTATGATCAATAATTTGGTGTATGCACTTTGTATACTCCCATCATGTAATAGTAAACTTTATTTAATTTATCTATACAATCGATATTCATTATGGATTCGGTTGCGGTTATCAGAAGATTCTGAGATGAAGTTTTGAAGGAATTTTCGTCTATAGTCATTGTATGCTGGGCAGTGAAGGAGAATGTGATGTAGACTATTGTAGATGAATTGGCTGCATGAAATATAGGTTTCTTGAGACTCAATCGAAAATGTTCTGTTTTTTGCATGGATTCTGATATGTTCTGGGTTTGCAACTCTTAACTGACTAACACATCTCAATTTCTTTATGTGGACTTAGAATGTAAGTTACGTTTCAGGATCGGGAGCATCGTAACTGCATAGCATTCTATATAAAGGGTAGTTAGTGGAGTTTAAAGTTCTTTGTATGTCGGCTGAGAAATAATATATATAAATATAAATGGTTATTTTACTGTGCTAATAATTTTGTTTCTTGTTTTGTTTTCTTGTATATTTTCCATCTGCTGTCGGTATAAAGAGAAATAAAGTAAATAGTTTGATTTAGCAACTTCCTCTTAGCTTATGAAAATAAAATAGAGACGATAAAAATGAATTACTAAAAGTTTAGTTTTTCCAAAATGAAACTAAATAAAAAATCCTAATGCTCCCTCTAACACATTATATTTATTTAAAACACGGATTTTTTTTACTCAAATCATTTTTAGTCAAGTTTCATTCATGTATAATAAAGAAATTTAGTTATAATAGTGGATTGATAGTTACCTGTTGTAGATATATTGAAGAGAAGTTAGTTAAAAATTATGCATTATTAATATTTAGTATTTATATATTTATTAGTATCCTCAGACATAATGGTAAAAAAAAAAACTATCATTAAATAGAGAAATTCCACTGTAAGTTTCTGGTAGCCACCCGGTTATTATATATGTTTTTTAAAAATATAATTTATTCGAATATTTAATTTGATTTTCATATTTTATTCTATCCGTCAACAAGAGTAATCAAGGAATAGCCAATATGGACCCGTCAACGGCCACTCAGGTGGCAGGGGCTGACCCGGACTACTATATCAGAGATCTTTTCAACTCCATTTCTCTCGGAAACTTCCCGTCTTGGAACCTGAGCGTGCAAGTCATGACTCCGTCTCAGGCTAAGAATTTTGCTTGGAATCCTTTTGATGCTACCAAGGTAATGTTAATTTGATTAATTTTATATTAAAAAAAAACATATTTCTTTATGATAATTTTCTTAGGTCAGGCAAAGCTTGTAAACTGATTATCCTGTAATGCAAAAACTAATAAGATAAACTATATACTTTTTATTTTATGAACTAGATTAATGTTTTAAATAACGTTTTTGTTTTGTATTTCACGATATATAAACTGCCATTATTGTCCAGAAAAGCTCTGAATCGCCATTTCTAAAAAAATTATACTTATAGGCTTTTGTAGTGTGGTTATCGATATGAGAAAATAATGATATCTAGTTTTCTATTCATCCGAAAATTAAAATAAAATGGGTTTCCAATGGGTTGAACAAAATATTTTTAAGAACTTGGATATTAATTTAAAAAATAATAACAATGGGATCTTGTTAATTATGGTTCGATTCGGATGATTTTTTTTTCTTTAGAGAATGTAATTACTTTAAAAATTATCCTAAATATAATTTGCTATAAAATTAATACTTTTTCAGCAGCAATAATTTTTTTTTTCATCTTAACGTTTTTTCCTCCTTGTTCTTGAGTGTGTAGAAAAATCATTTCAATTACAAGAGAGGTTTAACTTTAATCATCATTTACTTAAAACTTAGTTTTTGTCACTTATACTCCATTACTTTAAGAGGTCTTGTATGTTCTATTAAGTAAAAATAATTAATTTCATTACAGCTGTGGCCATTGACAGAATATCCTCTGATCCCCGTTGGGATAATAACCCTCGACGAAAATCCCGATAACTACTTCGACCGAGTTGAGCAGGTAGGATTCGATCCGCAGAGGTTGATACCTGGCATTGAGACGTCTCCTGACAAATTACTTCAGGTCAGTTTTTAATTAAAAGTAACATTTTGCACATAATTAAAACATTTTGAATAGATATAAATGATTCCATAGAAAACATCAAATTTTCATCCCAAGTTATTTTTGTATCTTCTATATTTTTCTCTCTTAACAAAACTCCAATCAACCTTTTTTTTTTTTGTACTGAAACAGATCTAGAAGTTTAGTTTTTCCAAAATTAAGTTTCAATGTTTTTATAATATTATTTAAAAAATCATTGATTTTCTAAAATATGTTCTCCAAATAAAGAATTTCTTAATTGATTTTTAAAAAAGTATTGATTTTGATTTTATGATTGCAATAAAAAACATAGTTTTGTGTGTTTCCTCAAATTTGTCAATGAAGATTAGGATTCACTTTAGAAATAAATTACTCGTATACACATTTTATATAATTAAGAAAAAATTAAATTAAATTGTCTGTGCTTAAGTGAGCACTGGCTATATGTTTACAGCCCATTTTTTTGGAGGATAAGAATTTTTTTAAAAACTTCTCATGTGTTATTCTTGATTGTTATTGCACTGTATCTAAATGACAAAAAAGTTCACTCCTCATGGGTGAGCTTATGACTTTTTTTTTCTGTTGGTATTACAGACATTTTAGATCTTTTGCCGCCTCAACAAGCCTGCTCCATCTCTGCCTGTCTTGGGCTTTTTCTTTCCAGTTATATGCACGCAGCTCTATTGCATCTTTGTTGATTGTATCTATCCATCTCCTTTTCGGCCTTCCATGTGGTCTTTTGCCTTATATTGAGGCATTCATTGTTATGTAGAGACTTCCAAATGGATTGCTAAGAACTCCATGTCCCACTCATCTTAAACTCTGTGCCTTTATACCATGAGACATTGATTGACCAGTCTCTGTAAGCAGCTCTTTATTGGTCTTTCTTCTCCATGTGTTAGTAATCTGATCCCAGATTATCCGGCTATCGTTCGGGGAATTTTTCTCTCAAATATTTCAATACTTTTTCTAGGACGCTGGGTAATGTCCAGGTCTCACAGTCATATATTACAACTGGCTTTATCATAGCATTGAATATCCTTAATTTGAGATTTTTTGGGATATTTATACCTTTGAAAGGGAAAAAAATCTGCACTGGTTATATACTGGTCTATTTTTGACCATTGGTTATTCATTGAGTTTATGGAGCTGAGGTATTAGAATTTTTCTACTCTTGGGAACAATTGCCCTTCAGTGCAGATCCTGTTATTAGGGTGGAATTTTGGCTTATTATCATATATTTTGTTTTGTCTTCATTTATTAGCAGATCAATTTGCTCTGCCTCTCTTATCAGAATCTTAGAGAGTTTCTCAATGTCTTCTTGATTACTTCCAAGGACAGCTATACCATCTGGATATTCAAAGATTTTATGATTCATACCGACGTGGACCCCTCCATTTTCATTTGATGTTGTTCTTATCACTTTCTCAAGGGCTAAGTTCAACAACATCGGTGATAGTCCATCTCCCTACCATAAGCCTGTTCAAACTTTGAAGGCTTCTGATACTTCTCCTTGTATTAGGACTCGACATTTAGAGTAATTTCTCCAACTTACTGGGAACTCCCAGTTCAGTCATAATTTTCCAAAGACAGTTTCTTTCCACAGTATCATAGGCTGCTTTGAAATAGACAAATAGGGCATGAATGTCCTCAGCTACTTCCCATAGTTGTTCGAGTAATTGTTTTAGGATGAAGATCTGGTCTAGCGTGCTCCTTTCTTTTCTAAATCCAGATTGGTCGTCAAAAATTATAGGATTAATAGCTTATGCTTTACTATATAGGACTACTTATCAATCAACAAATTTAATTAATTATTTTAGCTAAATTATTCACTCTTTCCTTATCCTAGGGTAGGTTGTTCTCATATACGGACACTCACATGCACAGGCTGGGCGTGAACAATGAATTGATAAAAGTGAACGCACCTTTACAAACTGCTAAAGTGGCTAATAGGCAAAGAGACGGCGCTGCTAGAACTGATAACAACCAGGACGGAAGCCCTAACTATTATCCCAACAGCTTTAATGGTCCAATCGCCAATCCAAGAGGCAAGCAGGCAGCTTATCAAGTCTCAGGAATGGTCGCTGCGTGAGTACACTTGTAGTTTACCAGTATTATTAGTATATTGTGTTGTTCTCAAGTAAAAGGCCATTAGATCACCAATTTATTTTTTAAATGAAATTTACTATGTGGCACTCCACGGAATGAATCTCAACCCTCCCACACTGGTTAGAAAAGGTTGGTTGTTCCTCTAGACAATTTCCCCATATGGCAGAAATGGCTTGATAGGAGTTAATCGAAATAAAATAAAAAAATCTTTTTTATTTCTTATATAGACATAATATTGGCTCTAGTATTACCTTAAAAGTCATTTTTAAATTAAAAAGTAAAGAAAAAAATTGATCAGATGGTCTTTTGCTTGAGAACAATCAAATTTATGATACCTAGAATAGGAAATATGAAAAGAAGTATTATTAATCTTACTAAAAAATGGTCAGAATGTGCAGTCATGACTGATCATTTTATTCGGAAAATGTCCGAGTATTGACGATATGTGCTCAAGTATAACATCTCTTTATTTACATCATGGTTTACAATATCAGCCAACTCCCAACTATTTATTTCCTCGGTTAAAATCAGATACTTCTTTCAACTTTTATAATCAAAATTGCTTCGAATCAAAATTTATAAATGAACCTCCAAAGGCTCCTCTTCAGTTGAGTTGGGGCTTTACGAGAAGGTTTCGGTCACCTCTTTATTTAAATATATTATATGTTTATTTTTGGACACACTCAAATATATATATGTGATACATCTACAGTGTAATCATGGATCTTGTGCCAACCCATCATGGTGAAGCAAACCACTTGTGAAGTAGTACTAAGAAACTATATCTAAATATTAACAAACAACAATTAATATAAACCATAATAATTCTGTACCCTGTATTGTTTCATTTCTCAACTTAAAATAAACATTAAAAGTTTCGTTTAACAGTCCGCAGGTCGCTAGCCTTAGTCACATGGAAGGTCTCCACGGATCTATGAGATCCACTTCACTAAATAAATTTATTGATCAAAAATACCGATACATTTCTCATCATACTGAATGAAATATATATTTATATATTTTAATATATTTATTGAATAAAAAGCTTAATAATTTTTAAAAAATGTTAGAAATAAAATGAAAAATACGTTGACAAAATTAGGAATTTGAGCATTAAATTCTGTATAACATTAAATACGAATATAAAATCACTGAATACTTGGAGCAATTATAATAGGATTAAATTGTATTAAAAAATAATTAATACGAAAATCATCATAACATAAGCCTCAGCCTCTAAAGGTTTAAATTGGAAATTTATCGTCGATAGTCACGTCTGCTCCAAATAAATAATTGGTAAATGATTGGCAGTTTTTGACAAACTCTTCAAATATCTCCTGGATTGATGCAAATCAGTCTATTTCTTTACGTAGTTGAAGTGTTTCTTGGTCGTCAAATCTTATGCATGAAGTAAAAATCAAAACCTTCGTACACTCATATTGGGACAAAATATCTCGATTCCAAAGCCACTTGAGTTCCATAACTCATCCAGATTTTTTTCTCCCGGATTTATATATCTCTGCAATACAGAACAGCCCAAAAAAGGGTTTTTTCAAAAATCCCAAAAGGAGATTTCAATTATATCAGTTGCCATTGCATCCCTTTCCATAAAAAATTTCAACGTACGCCGTCAATCCTCAAGTTTGAATACAAAAATTGGACGTAGCACAGGTCACCCTACTACTAGATTGCAAGACTCCAAAGTGATATAAAACCACATTTTATAGATCGCTCGGCGGATCTCTCAGATCCGGTGCGGCCTTCGGAGTGTTAAGTAATAATGTTATCTCTTATTAATGACTGTTGCGTAATATTAATTTGAGTTTTTTTTGTTAATTAATCTTTAAAAATATATATATATATATATGGTCTTTTTTTAATTATTCTTTTGAAAAATCACACTGTACAGGAATGATAATTTTAATATAATTTCTTGAAGGTATACTAAAACATTAAATCTTCCTCCTGGGATAAATTTTGAACAATGCAATATTAGAATATTCCTAAATAGAACAGAAGTAAAAATTTATGAGAAAAATGACCATAAAAAATTATGGATGACATATATGACAATATTTAGGAACAATACAAAAAAGAATACTCCTGAAGATAAAGCAGAGCCCCAAAAGATTGAATATGGAAGCAGAAAACATGAATAATAAAAAATTTATCCTAGGAGGAAGATTTAATTTTTTCGCAAATCTTCAAGAAACTATGTAAAATTATTTTATATTGTATAACTTCTAATGATAGTTATTAGTTAGGATAGTTAAAAATACATATATAAATAAAAATTGTAATCTCTGGTTAGTATAATAATGTTTCTTTCAGATATGATACAAGCAATGAAGATAATTTCAGTCAAGCCACTTGGTTTTGGAACCAGCTCACATCAGATGAAAGAAGCAGGCTGGTATCTAATATCGCTGGAACACTAGGTCTTGCAGCTCCGTTTATTCAGGTATTATGGCTAAATATGAATAAATTTATTAATTATAAATATTTGGAAGATGTGCAGTACTGGCCTTAGACCTTTATCACGAATTTAATTTATCTCATAAAATTTATAATTTATTACAATACCCAACAAGCAACAGGCACCTCTTCAGATCACTACCCTCTGGCATGGACCTAAAGTTGCCCTGTCCCAGATGTGTTCCTCAACTTCAGACGGATCTATACGTTTCCGAGCCCTCTGAGTCTGAAAAACACATTTTTAGCCATTGCTCTGTCTGTCTTTCTATGCCAAGATTTTCTAAGGAACTACTCAACCGATTTTGTTGCTTCTTTTTTATTTTGTATGGTTTTGATTACTGATGTCTGTGACACAAATTGGATGTTCCATGCGCAATAAACGAAAAATATGTTTTTCTATAGACGGTAGCGAGAAAAAAGTTCTAAAAATTTTGATGAAACTTTTCTATAATGTTCTAATAATTGTCCTTTCAATTTTCGTACAAAGACTAAATTCCCGAAAAAAATCAGGAAAAAGGTTATAAAGAAAAGAAAAATGTTTTGGGCCTAACTCGCTAAGTATATATTCTATGGTAAAATTTTTGAAAGGTAATTAAATTGCTAACAAAACAAAAAAAAAAAATCAGAATTGAACTGGTATTAGTGATGATACTGCATATTATATTTTCTACACATGTTTTAATTTATTACTTTCCTACCTAAACTAGGTAAGGAATGAATTGCGATCGGATCAAATTTCCGATATGCGGTTATCGATGGATCTACACTTTTCAGAGCTCTCTGAGTCCGAAAAACACCGTTTAGCCTGTCGTTTGAAAGATAATGAAATTCCTTACAAAACTATATAAAAATCGCTCATTTGGAACAACTATTAATGAAGTTACAGCTATTCAATTTCCAATGTAAGATTACGGGTACATGTCCTGTTGTCAGAAAGGGATGAATGAGTGAAAAAAGATAAATAAGTGAAAGTAAGAAAATCTGTTGCCCACATCACACAAGCTTCACTGTTTCCTCTACTTTTAACAGAAATTATTGTTTGACAAAATTAGGCTATGGAAAAAAGTTTTTGATCGGCAATATTAGAGGGTATTGAAATTTTTACACTGATCTACCTTAAGCCGGTTTACATTGCTTTTTTAAAACATGTTCCTATGCTCCATATTTTTTTATTAATAGTTTTTCTCCTACTAACTTACCTTGATTTACTTAAATACAAGAAATATTGAGCTCTACTATTTTGAACGTTATGTTTCTAGTGGATTTATTCTTTTTCACAACTTAGCTTTTTGAGATTAAATTGTTTTACAAGGTATAACAAAATTAAAATAATGAACGAAAAAGCTGGACTATCATATAAAGCAGCATAATAATAATAATAAAAAAGGCCTTAAAATAAATAACATTATTTTTTGTAATGTTATATCTTAAGGCCTTGTCCACACTAGTAGACATGTTGCACGATTTTTGTCTCTGAGACATGTCTCAGTTTTTCAACGTAGACTTGTCTATAGACCGATCCCTGTCTACAGGTCTGTTGCGAGACCAAAAATCGCAGACAGAATGACTCCCGATCATGTCTCTATATAGTCTATAGACAAATCGTGCAACATATAGATATAGTCTTTATTTACGCAAAAATTAATACATAATACATTTAAATTAGTATATTCTTTAAGTGTGAAAAGAAATTAATAAATTGATTATTTTTCCCTCTTTTTTTTTTTTTTTTTTTTTTTCTTTTTTCCTTCTTCCATTTATTGTATAATCAATGAAAAAAAATATTGTAAGAATATGACAATATTATTTCAAAACTTATAATTAAAATTTAAACAAATTATTTTGTAAAATTAATAAATAAAACAATATCTATAAAATAATTCATGCCTGTTTGCATTACTATTGAAATGGAAAAAAGTTACAATTGACCTGGATATGCTATTTAAATATTATTTTAAATGGCATGTATAATATGAAAACTTTTATTTTTTAGAATAAAATGACATCGAAAATTACTTCAATAAGAAGACTTGTTTTATGAAAAATCGATGAATACTTTAAAATATAAGAGTACAAATAGATTTTAAATTCTGATGATAAAATATAAATGATATGCTTGAAAATGAGCCAAAGTCAGTCTTTATAAAATCTAGTGCAAACTTACCAAATATTACCCTAATTCAAATAGATCTTGATATAAAATATTTAAATATTTGATTATGATAATTATAAATGATAATTATTTTTATAATGTATGATTGTACAAGACCATGAGGATGTGTCTACTATGTGTAATTACTAGAAAATTTTAAATAAAAATTATGTCACGATCCTGAAGATGAACAAAAAATGTCTCAAAATGATGAGATTTGTATAAAAGAAATAATTTAGATATTTTTTATAGAGAGTGAATTAGATTGAGCCGTCGGATTTCTGATGTGTAACACTCGGGTAAAGTCGGCTGAAGTCTACCAATTGAACTGTTTTTGCATATCGATTAAAATATCTCAAAAACTAAAAATTGGATCTGCATACTGTAAACAAATGAAATGTTCAGCATTTCATCCTCTTTGTAATGAGCTATTATTCAAAATTTTATATTGACACGACACCGTATTAAAGAGGCAAAAATGAAAAAATATAGTGTCAGAAACCGAAGAATTTCATTCTAAATATTGTCAGATTAAATATGTCTATTGATAGTAAAATAATGAGAATTACAATCATCACATATCTTAGTTATCATAAACCTTTTGTTTCATTTTTAGAGTATTATACTTAGTTATTATGATCAGTCGGAGCTAAGTTTACTAGAGTAATTTAAACACAATTGTAATTGTATATATTGTAAATGTTATTACTTTGTAAATATAGAACAAAAAAATATTTATATTTCATATTATTAAGTCCTCCTTGTTGATATTTTCACTTCTATCGTGTGGTCTTAAGTACACATCATCTATTTTTTTTTTTTTTTTACATTGAGTAACGTAGGTCACCCATCTGAATTGATAAAGAGCAAAAATACCTTATGCATTAGTTGATTGTTATTTTCTATTTATAGGAGAGAGCAGTAAACAATTACTTACAAGTGAGTGATGATTTCGGAAACGCCCTTGCTGCAAGCTTAGGAATAAATCCTGCGTCCAAATGAACCAAAACTGAAGGCTGAATTATAAGTAAATTATAATTAAAATATTCATTTTAAATTTGTTGACTTTATTTTTATGATCCACAACTTTTTTTATTGGTTGAGAACTTAGCTGGGGATTGCAATGAGTGAGAAGCACAAAGTTAAAATAATTTATATTTTATTTCAGGGCTGAGGAAAGACAAGATAATAACCAACAAATTATAAAAAGATATGAAAATAAAATATATGTTATTTGCTAATAAAAAAAATTATAAAAATAAGAAATGAATAAAAATTTAAATTTAATTTTGTACAAAATAAAATAAATATTTTTTATTTTGTTTTGTGTTTCACTCTGACTGCAACCCCCAACTAACTTTCCAACCTTATTATCTATAATTAAAAAATCCAACCTTATTATCTATATAAAAATAATGGTGAAGAAATACTTCACCATTATTTTTTTTACTTCTCAGTGTTTAGGTATCATTGTAATTTTTTAATTTATTATTTCTGTATTATATGTAATGTAATACAGAAATAACTGTATTATATTATATACTACATACATAGTCACTGGACACAAAATTTGATGTTATACAACTTTGATTCTATGGGTTTTTCCTCTTAAGGAACTCATTTCCAAGTTGCAGGGCCATTTATCGTAATTTGTTTCAGTTTTTGACAAATTTGGTAAAAATCAGTGTTAGTTGACCGTGGTTTTATACGTTACCTCATAACCAAATTATTAAGTTTATGTACTCATTCGATGCAAAATTTAATGTTCTTTAATCAATTAAAGAGTCAATTTTTCGCTTTGATGCATCGTTTAGGAGTTATAGATGAAAAAAAAATATTATCGAAAAAATCTGACTTTTTTGACTGTCAAAAGTTTTCCCTTGGTGGCCCGTGTGCATGAGCAATTTTGTTTTTTACATGTCTAAACTTATATATACAATTAAAAAAATAAAAACTTTTCTTACATTTTTAGCAATGGATTTTCCGTTTCTATCCTCAATTTACTGGCCTAATATTCTTTAAATCAGCTGCCATTTTTGAAAGCGGCAGCTCTCGAATGGCAGACAAGGTTCTTTTTACTCAGGATAACATAGACTTACGTAATTTACAATCAAACCTTCTCCTGTGGTGAGGTTGATTTTTGGGCCCTGGCTCCAGGGCTAAAAATGTTAAGACCTTTGTTTACAGTTTTAAAGCAATAAATTCAGGATACATTAAAGTTTTTAATTTATTTTAATCTGTTATAATAGACCTTAAGAGGCTTCTAATGGAAATAAAAACATTATAAATATTAAATTTTAAAAATAATTTATTTCAATAATAAAAAAAATAATAATTTCAGTCCATCATGCCTTATTAATAAAAATAACTCAGAACAATTTTACTTCAAATAATTATTATCGGAACAATTATTAATTTGTAATTTATAGGTTACAAAGATATAAGCTGATAAATTTACGGCTGACTATGAGATAACTTGTAGTTTATATTTTTTGTTATTGCCTAGAACTCTTAACCACAAGAAATCATGTACTTTATTTATTTGCCATAATAATATATAATTAAATTTTACACCAGGTATTTTCAAAAATATACCTTTTACACCATACTCCTAAAAAATATCATGTTAGTGAAAGTATTAATTAAATCAAATTTTTGTTTGTAAATGTACAGGTTTTATAATTGGGTACTTGCATGAATTTTCAATATTTATTCATTGGTAAAAATAAGGTTATAATTATAATAAATAATATAAGGCTTAGCAAACCCAAAGGTTCGATACAGACACCACCAATCACTGTCTACTCACCTACCTCCACCGGTTGCTGTCCAAATCCATTCTCTTCAGATCAGCCTCAACGCAATCTTCCCACCTTCGCTTCGATCTACCCCTTGAGCATTTTACAAGTCCATTTTATTCGACGCGATGTAATTACCTCAATTATATTAACTGGATACAATTCATGGAATTCGGCATTGTGTAACCATCTGAACTAACTTTCCGGTTAACTCATCCTTCTTCAGTCCGAATATTCTACATAATATTTTATTTTAAATAAAAACCTTAAGACTTTGCTTATTTCTTGATTTAAGCGGCCACGTTTCGCATCTGTAAAGAACCGTAGGTAGGAGAATGCTTTTATAGGTTCTAATTTTCAAGTTCCAGTACAGAGGAGGTATGAGCTAAGTAACTTCTTCACAGAAAAATAACAAGCATTTCCCGCCTTCTGCCTGACCTTAATCCCGTCTCCAATTTCGTTTTTTCTAGTTATCGTAAACCCTAGATACCTAAACTTCTCTCCTTCTATATTAATACCACTGGAATTATCATATTTTTTGCAGCTTACCATTATATTTATAAAAACGGAAAATTTCTGTTCGAAAATCCTTAATTTTTTTTAAATGATAATTTGCAAGATGATAGGTATTAACCTTTTAGTGATAATGAGTGGGAAGGGTGGAGCATTCTTGAGGACGGAATACTTTTCATCACCTCTACTGACCAAAGGAGCCGACAACAAAATATATCATATAATATCAAACAAAATTTATGTTATTTACTTTTAACTTTCTTTTACCCAGACTTTTAGGTTATTGCATACCAATCTATTTCTTTTCATGACCAGAATAAGAGAAAAATATTGACTGTAGTATCAAATGAGTTATAAGTATCGTAAATTACAAAAATCAATACTAGTTAAGTTGAATGAATTTATTTCTCTGATAAAGGAAGTTAGATTAGTTTCTATTGTCATTTAAAACTCTTAAATAGAAATTGGAAATTATATTTTCCTGTACTTGATTTTCTTGGATGATCTTTTTCTGGCCGTGAACTAAATCAACTTCTGAACAGAATTTTATCCTAATTCAACGTTAGTACAACTGTTAGAAAGCTGAAATATTGTTGTTCCAACTTACATAAATAACTTTTGGATTTCATTTCTTTTAAGATAGAAATTAAGAAAAATTTCTCAAACATATTTATTTAATATCTTTGGTTCTAATTTTTTTTACGGATTTGTGCCCTTTCATGTAGCATTTTGAGTCTTTAATTATTTTCATTTAAATCAGGGTGTCATCCTAAAGTTATCAATATTTTTGTTGTTGTGCTCAAAGTTTCAAAAGATCCAGATTAAGTAAAAAAATATCAATAACTGTATCTCATGTAATTGACATTCGAACTTATATTCTACTTCAATTCTATTTCAGCTCAAATTTATCTGATTTTTTTTCTATACAAGTACCCAATCCCCCACATGGCCTAATTTGAAAAAATAATAATTTACTACTTAAATTAAAATATTGAATAATATTAAATAAAATAGTTCCTAAGTTATTAGTCATACTATTATTTATTAAAATATACATACGATGTTTCATTATCTACTTTGAATTAGCTTGCTGTAGTGCTCTCATCAGCATCCTTCCCATGCTTGGACTTACCTTGTTAAAGTTTTGTAGAGCTCTTTTCTGCAATATAAACATTTTTTATTATATCAAAATGAAAATATTAAAATTTTATTTTCTGAGAATGTATAAAGAACAAGCTCTACGTTTCAATACTAGTGTAATTCTAAGATTACAGGCCATGTTAATATCCAGACAAAACATGACATTTCTGAAGGATTTATTTTGTAGTTTTGGCCTGTATTGTATATTTCACCCTGAAAAACCGAAAGGACTTATTTGCCAACGTAATATATTTTTATTTTTCATTTCCTTAACTCTTCACTGTAATTAAACACTTTTTTTTTTTTTTAAACTTTTATTATGATAAGTACAACTGTATTAGTATGAATACATCAAGTAAATTTGTACAGAGAAATATTATTACATGAAACACGCTTGTTGAGAAACTACCCACTGGTAGCACTCTAATAATTTGTCTACATGAGAAGATCACTAGGCATCTTCTTTTCAGACGCCTCGGCGGTTATCAGGAATCGAAGAGGAAGCAAGGTTAGAAACAAGAGGATTCGGATGGTTATGAAGTTTATTATGGAAGGATAGGTATCTGGATTTGGCCAAATCGGAAACATATGGAACATTGAGGTCTTTATGGATTATTTTATTAGTGACAAAGTAAGGAGCATTGAGGATTTTACGAAGGATTTTGGATTGTAAGGATTGGATGCGAGAGGAATTCGATGGTTCAGTGGAGCCCCATAGCTCAATTCCGTAAGTCCAAATAGGTCTTATTATAGTCAAGTATATGAGTCTTTTGTAATTAAGGGAAGTTTAGAGCGTTTGTCTAGTAAGTGTTGGAGTAGTCGGAAACGTCGAGCGGTTTCTTGTCGTTTCAGTCTGGTATGAGGATTCCAAGTTAGACGTTTGTCCAAATGAAGTCCAAGGTATCGGATTTGTTCAACAGGGATAAGTGGGGTATTATTAAAGGATACTTTGGGACATGAGGTCATAGGTTTACGTCAAAGGGTAAAGGTGATTTGATGGGATTTATTAGAATTTATTTTAATCCTCCAGTTTTGACACCATTCTTCAAGGCTTGTGATGTGTGATTGAAGAGTTTGGGATGCAATGGTTGGGTCATTATTAACGGATAGGACACATGTATCATCGGCATACGTGGTAATAACAGTGTTAGGATGGGTTGGGATGTCAGCTGTATAAACTGTGTAAAGGACAGGACCAAGGATACTAGGATGGGTTGGGATGTCAGCTGTATAAACTGTGTAAAGGATAGGACCAAGGATACTACCTTGAGGAACTCCGGCAGATTGAGAAAAGAGGGATGAATAGGTATTATTGTGATTTACTTTGAAGTGCCTTTCAGTAAGATAGGAACTGATGATAAGAAAATATGTAGGGGGAAGGAATTTACGGAGTTTGTAAAGCAATCCCGGATGCCAGACTCGATCAAACGCCTGTTCAACGTCGAGAAAAACTCCAGTGCAATACATTCCGCGCTCCAATGCAGAGGAGACTACGTCTACCACACGATGACATTGCTGGATAGTGGAATGGGATGTGCAGAATCCAAATTG